GGAGAACCTCATGATTGCTTAGCAGAATCAGAGAAAATGTATAAACTAAGACCAGATTTGACAGACGTGCCACGAAAAAATGGAAACGTATTGTAAAATGTACAAATTATAGTTCTCAGGCAGCAGAAATAGTGGCGTTAACAGAAGCATTGAAATTATCAAAAGGAAAAGACGTTACCATTTTTACTGATAGTCAATATGCGTATGGTGCAGTACATATTTTTGCCCAGTTGTGGAAAAATAGAGGTTTTAAAACATCTACGGGGAAATCTGTAATGCACTATAAACTTTTACAAGAACTATTGAAAGCAATCTTACTCCCTAAAAAGTAGCTGTATGTAAATGTGAAGCACATACACGAAAAGATGATCCAATTTCACAAGGAAATGAAAGAGCTGATAAAGTCTCAAAACAAGTAGCTATGAGCACTGAGGACTTTCTCTCCTCCATTCTTAGAGAACCACATAAACATTTATTAGTGTCAGGATGATAACCGTGTCTCCTCTTTCTCCACTAGTCTGTAAACAACAATAAAGTTCTTTACAGTATACTACAGTACTGTATGTCCACTCCAGCTCTCCCTTTTTTCCCTCCTCTCTTTTCTCCCTCCTCTGCTGTCTTCCTGATTTTCCCCTTTCTCCCTTTACTGAATCTGCTCTCTTGTTAATGTGGATTATACAAATAAAATTGACTTGACTTGCAATCATACCATACCTGATGAGCTAAGGCAAGCTGCTGCTCATAGTACTGAATGGCTCCAATTACGTCCTTCCTACAGAAAAAAATGTCACCAAGGTTTCCCAGGGCTCTGAACCGAGCTTGAGTGTTGTTTAGTGATTGTGCCAGTGAAAGCAGATATTTCTGACACTCCTCTGCTTTGGAAAAGTCTCCCAGGGCATTGAAAGCCAACCCCAGGTTACAGTAGGCTTTGGCCTGGCTCGGTTTGTCATGTAGGTCCTTGGCCAGGGCCAGGTCCTGCTCATAGTATTTGACTGCATCCTGATAGTTGCCAAGGCAGTAATGGGCATAACCGAGATTGTGACAGACCTTCCCTTCACTCTCCATGTCCTGAAGGTCTGGGGAAAGTTGAAGGTACTGCTCATAGTAGGGTACGGCCTGAGGGAACTCTCCTTGAGAGCAATGGAAGTTACCAAGGTTTCCCAGTGCACGTGCCTCACTCTGGACGTCCCTGAGCTCACGAGCAATGTTGCGGTGGTTCTGGTAGTGCTGCAGAGCACGGTCGTGGGCACCCAGAGCCTGATACGCTACCGCCAGGTTACCATGGGTAGAAGCCTGTGAAGCCCGGTCATTGACCTCCATTGAGATCTGCAGCTCCTGTCGATGGTAGCGAACTGCCTGGTCGAAAGCTCCGAGAGCGCTATAGGCATTTCCCATGTTTCCATAGGACCGGCCCTGAGCAGCGTCGTCATTGAGCTCCTGAGCAATGGCCAAGTGCGTTTTGTGGAACTTAAGTGCAGTCTCGTAGTCTCCCTTCATCTGATGAATTATGCCTGCAGAAATAAAGAGAGAATTAAGGTTAAGACTGACAGAGGAGGAAACTTATGACCCAGTAAAATTAGGGTGCTCAGTCAGTTCTTCCTGCACAAAACATGTTATTTTGTTGTTAAAATATGCCTTTGGAGCCATCCATTCTGATGATGGTGATTAAAATGGAGCACAAGCAAAGACAACTATTGTGACACAGATATGCAGACTTTTGGAAAGTCAAATCTTTGTGGGGTGGAAATAATTACCCATAAAAAAGGCGAAGAAAAAACAAGAATCTGTAGGAAGTGACAATGGAAAAACTTTAGGAATCCCATCTTTAGGAAAATGGGGCAAGGGTAAAAACACAATAAATATTTCTGAAACAAACACATGGTTGGAATTATCACTCATTAAACATCCTTCTGTAAAACAATAGCTTCACCCCCACAGCCTGACAAACTGTGTCCCTGGATGGAACTCTTTCATACTCCTACTTCAGTAACTTCCCCAGGGCATGATCAATAAAGTTCAATCTTAACCTTACTTGACACTAACCTTACAGCATTTCCACCTTGAAACAATATGACTTTCCTCATACCAGTGTTTCCTATATTCTGGCTTACGACAGCCATACCAGATCTGCTCAACCTAGCAATACATTGAACCAATTAAGGTCATGTTTTGTTCTGCTGATTTGCCTTCTGCTATTTATTTATTTTTGTCAATGAAATTTGTCATGAAGATTAGCAAAGACTGCAAAATCTAATAAAGATTAGATGCAGCTAACTTTCACCTCTAATCCAAGAGGCTTCTTCAGTGCTAACTGGTGGTGGGGAGTACAGCAAATATATACTCTAGGTGTGAAAGAATAAAGATACTTCAGCTCCACCCTGTTGGGTGGGGCCTTGGGGTCAACTGAGAAAGTGTAAACAGTCGTTAAGAGTCTGATGGGTCATTGTGGTCCCCATCAGAACGGTTTCGGTCACCTGCCTCTTTGTTGTGTGAAACTGAGGTGAAACTTTTGTGTATTGTTCCTAAAAAGTGCTTTGTATGTGGGTGATGTTGTTGTGTCTGAGTCCACCTCCTCTGTTGAGTGATGGTTTTTCCAGGTTGACAAAAATGGCTTCTTTTACGCCTCTCTCAAAACCATCATCTTCCCTGGCCAAAATGTGTACATTGTTGTCCTCAAAGGAGTGTGTTTTGTCCTTGAGGTGTATGTGAACAGCTGAGTCCTGTCCTGAGGAGTTGGCCCATGCGCCTGTGTAGCGGTTGTTTAGTCTCCCCAATGTACAGGTCAGTACACTCCTCACTGCACCGAATGGCATAAACCACATTGTCCAGCTTGTTTCTTGGAGTCTTGTCTTTGGGATGAACCAGTTTTTGTCTTAAGGTGTTGCCAGGTTTGAAATGTACGGGGATCTGGTGTTGGTTAAAGATCCACCTAAGTTTTTCTGAAACTCCTGAAATGTATGGAATGACATTCCCCCTCCTCCTGTTATCCTCCCTCTTTGTGGGCCTCTTTTTGTTTGTTTATAAAAAAGCCCATCTGGGATAGCCACAGGGCTTGAGAGCTGTCCTTATGTGTCCCCGTTC